CCCTTACTATGAGGCCCCCAGTTGAGCTGGGCCCACAGTGGGAGGGGGTGGGTGGGTCTAAACCTGGGGTCTTTAAGAAAGAGAAAGGGCAGGAAGGGGTTACTCCCCCATCTCCATCCCCACCCAGACCCAGGACTGGGGAAACAGGTTTGCCAGCTGGTGTCAGCTCTCACAGTTGAAGGGAGGAGTGCAGGTGTTGCTGACTGGGTTGCTGGCCAACTCAAGGGTCTCTAAACACCCTCCTTCAGCTCCGCCCCTTACCTTACACTCCCCCTCCCCAAGTACACACACAACAGGTCCCTAATAGGATTTAAAGTCACAAGCACTACACCTCCCTGGGTTGGGGGTTCCGGGAGCAGGCGCAGGCAGGCAGGAAGGCGAGCTGGGAGGCTGGCGCTAGCTTCCTCTTCCCAGGCAGCCTGGCCCCGCCTGGCTCCAGGGTTTGCTCTCACATCCTGGATTTGTTTGCCTGGCCCCAGGCTGCCCCCTGCCTGCTTAGGCCTCCAGAGCTACAATCTGCCAGCCTTTGCTCTATACGTCCCCTGTGAGGTGAAGAGCTCTGGGAGGGGGAGGCTCGGCACAGATATGAGCCATAAATACCACCTGAGAGGACAGTTGAGGGGGCGGGGGGTGGCCATGTGCAGAGCTCAGTAAGATGGGACATCAGCAGGCAACCATGCTGGAGTTACAGTCCTGGGAGATACCAAGACACCCTCAGCAGCCTGCCACCCAGCCTGAAGACCTATTATTAACATCCCTCACACTCATCACCTGGTTTAAGCCCCCTTTACCTGCTCACACACCTAGAACCTGCCCATAGCTGTGGAGCAGTCAGAGGAAGAAGGACTAGGGGTAGGCTTCTCTTCACACCCTCTGCTCCTTCACAGCCACTAGAGATGAAAGCAAAGAGCCTGGGGCTTGGGAACCCAATGGGGCCAGGGAAACAGGAGCCTTCTCTGGTCTGGACCAGCTACAATGGCTACCTCTCCACAGAGTCCACGAAGCCCCTGAGGTCAGGGCTGTGTCAGGCTTTTTTCTTTTCTTTTCTTTTTTTTTTTTTTCCTTTTTGAGATGGAGTCTTGCTCTGTCACCAGGCTGGAGTGCAGTGGTGCAATCTCGGCTCACTGCAGCCTCTGACTCCCTGGTTTAAGCGATTCTCCTGCCTCAGCCTCCCAAGTAGCTGGGATTACAGGCACATGCCACCAAGCCCAGCTAATTTTTATATTTTTTTTTAGTAGAAATGGGGTTTCACCATGTTGGCTAGGATGGTCTCGATCTCCTAACCTCATGATCCACCTGCCTCGGCCTCCCAAAGCGCTGGGATAACAGGTGTGAGCCACCACAGTCAGCCAGGGCTACGTCAGTTTTACAGGCAGGAAGCAGAGGCTGAGAAGTCGAGTTTGGTCTGGGTTATACCAAAGGACTCTACTCCATGCCTGGACTCCTGCCAGGGGCCTCAACCTCTCACAAGCTGAGCAGACTAAAAAGGCTGTGGTCCTTCTGGCCTGGACTCCAGGTCTCCGGGAGACAGTTGACCAGCCTCCTCACTGAGGGCCAGCCCGTCTGAGCAGGAATTCCTCCCAGTGACAAACTGTTCAGGGCACACAATGGTCCATTGTGCCCAGGGCACACCTGAGCCAGGAGCATCATGCCTGGCCGGTGCAGGGAGGGAGGTGCTGGGTGAAGGGGAGGGAGGTGTTACCCTGGGATCCCTCCCTGCTGTGGGTGCAGAAGGAAAATGGGGGACTATGTGTGAGAGACGGTTTCAGTGACACCAGGTTCTCAGCTGACGGGACACCTGAAGTGTTCTCTGAGATGGGTGGGGAGCTCAGGATGAAAGGGCCTCCCTCCATCCTTTTCAGACATTCCCCAGGGCCTCAACGCCCCACCCTCACCCTGGGCATTCAAAGCAAAACCTTTTCTTCTGCTCCTAGAGAGGTCCTGGGTCCACCTCCCAGAATGGGGGTGGGGTGGGGTCGTCTCAAGTCAGGGAGGAGCTTATCTCAGCCTGTTCGTAGGGGTTGGGGGTAGAAATGCAACTCAAGAAGAATCTGCGGTGGGAGCATTCCCCTTCCCCACACTCTCCCTAGTCAGCACACACACCCCCCTACATCGGCCCACACTCGCAGAGTCATTGGCCACGACCACCCAATCGGGCCGCGCCCACGGGAGAGGCAGCCGACATGCAAATTGAGACCCCCTCCCCCTAGCCTCCTGTCCAGAGAGGCCTCAGTTTCCCCATTTGTAAAAAGACGAAGTGTCCGGCCGCCTCGGCCCAGGCCACTCTCCTCCAGCAAGAAAGACTCAGGGTTCACGGTCCTGCCGTGGGGGTTGCTGTGAAGTGCACGACCGCGAGCTCTGTACCCAAGGCATAAGTGCCAGAGGCACTCGGCTGGCTGGGGGCACACACGTGCGTGCGGAGCCGGGGCATTCCCTGCGCGCGCGTCTACGCGGCCCCAGTGGCGCGGGGCACAGGTGCAGCAGGCGCGGGGCGCGCGAAGCTGGGGGCACCGCGGGTGCGGGCACGGGGCGGGGCGGGCTCACCTGCGCGTAGTAGAGCAGCCACAACTCGTAGAGCCGCTCTGAGGCGGCCATGGCCGGGCCCGGCTCCGGCCCTGCTGCGCGCCACCTGTCGCCGCCTCCTCCGCGCCGCCCGCCGGCTGCCTTCGGCCAGGCCCATGGGCGGAGGGCGTCACTCCGGGGCGGAGCGGCGCGGTACTACTGGGGAAGTCTGCGGCTCTGGCCTCCGCGGCTCTGAGCCACCCAAGTCTGCTCGCTCCTCCTCCTCCTCACTGGCGGCCGCCGCCTGGCTTCCTGCACTTCGCTGCAGTCACCGCCGCCCCGCCTCTCCTGGGACCGTGCAAAGGGCGGCGAGTATGGCAGGAGGAGGGGCCTGTGGGCAGGGCGGCCCAGGAGGGTGCCCCGCCGCCCCCCCCCCACCAGTCCCATTGGCAGGTACAGCCTGAGCCTCCGGGACGGGGGTCGGGGTGAGAAATTCCAGACTTTCCCAGGGTCTGCATCCGCCTAGGACGCAGCCCGCCTGACTGGAGTTGCCGCCATTCAGGGAAAGGTCGGCGGGTCGCGTGTGAGTGGCGAGGGTCCTTCAGCAAGTAATAATGACTAACACCACCATGCAACCCCTGTGGCGCTTATCAAGTGTCTGGTGCTCCTCTGTCGCTTTATGGGAAGACTGAAACGCAACGTTTGAGCTCTAGCTGTTTGTTGAGTGTGACGGCGAGAAGTCAGAGAGCAGCAGGACTAGACTGAAATACCTTCAGGGCAGCGATGCCCTCCCAGATCCCAGAGAAGCTTAGACCGTTCCCACGGGTCCCCCTTCCTCCTCCAGGAAGCCTTCCCAAAATTCCCAAACGCTCCAGTGGAGGGGCTGTCCCACTCCGCAACTCCAGGGCCCAGAACTTGCTTCACATATTTTCTTTCTTTAACCTCAGGAGATGGGTGCCTCATGGTTCTGTTTTACAGATGGAGAAACTGAGGCTTTGGCTAAATGAGGACCACATGGGCAGCCAAGGGCAGCAGGGACAGGGACCCAGGCTTGACTGACTCTTTGTTGGGTCCCTGCCACCATCACCCCGTGCCCCTTTCCCTATGTCCAGATTATGAGGTGAGGGACCCCCTGGTGTTAGGCAGGGATCAGGCCCTTTGTTGGGACTGGGGAGAAGTTTGCTGGGCCCAGAGAGGTGCTACTGGTTCCAGGAGTTGACCAGTCTGGAGACTCCTAGACGTTGGGTGGTCAAGAGAACACAGACCCTGTCCCATTTTGCTCTCCTAGTTTCTTGGGCCACACCTCCAGTCTGGCCTTTTCTCCTGCTCTGTGCAATCACAGCTCTGAGCTGAGGTTTCCTGAGCACCTCCAACCCGCATGCCAGGCCTTGGCAGAGCAACCCATCCATTACAGGGAAGAAGGCTTAGACAGACTCAGGTTAGTGAGGACAAGAGGGCCAGTGAAGGGAGGGACAGACCTGTGGCCTGTGGCCCATGAGCCTCTGAAGAGAGTTGGAAGGGGAAGAGTGGATGCCCACCTGCAGCCAACCTGGGAAGGGAGGCCTCAGGAAGGGAACAGCCTTGCTCAGAAGCTAGTTATCCCCTGGCAGTGGAGGGGGGCAGGTGGAAGCATGGTCTCCTATTCCCAAGTGAGGGGGGTGTGGCCTTGGGGACTCTCACATACTGAAAGAATATCTTGAATTCAGCCTAAGTGCTCTCTCTGTTATCAGGACACTCTGGTTAATGCAGGAAAGAAGACTCTGGCAGCTTCTGCCAGAGAGCCATGAATCTTGTGGTGACTTGCAATCGGGTCCAAACCAACCCTTTCTAAGCTGGGGGATGGGGTCAGTCCTTGAGGCCCACTGGACCCAGGTTGCGGTTTGCTCTTCACTGGGGAAGGTAACTTGACCCTGAGGACTTTGCTGCTCCAGGAGGGGATGGGAGTGAGAGGGGATCATATCTGAGTCCAGAGGGAAACAACCATCGAACCAGGTCCCTCACTATACAGGCTTTGTCTGAGCTGAGGGTGGTCACAGAGGGGCTTAGGGGCATTTGTCAGGGGAGTCCGGGGGGGGGGGCACGGACAGCTGTAGAGGTGTGACGCATACCTCATATTAGGGTGGGATCGGAGTGGAGGGTCAGGGAAGGATTCTTGAAGGCATTCGAGGCTTGAAGAATCAGGTGAAGTGGACAAGGATGGATGGGTCAGGGCATTCCAAGAGGCCAGCATGGAGTGAGCTGTGGTTGGTGCACAGGCAAAACCGGAGCGATCGACGCACTCTTTTCTCCTTCTCTCAGGTCTGATTCCACCTGCTGCTCTTTCACTGATCAGTGATGGATAAATCGAGCCTTAGCATTTTTTTTTTTTTTTTTTTTTTTTTTTTGCTGGCTCCCTACCCACTAGGCAAGTTGCCCTGAAGAATAAGAGCGGGGCAGGGCGGGAAGGGTCGGGGCTGGGAGGGCCCGCCCATAACAACCCAGCACTGATTGGCTACCAGGACCTCTCATTCTTTCATTCTCGTCCTTGGATTGGCCGTGAGACATTTATCCACTCTCTTTAGGCCTGCGCGTTGCAAGACGGGAGAAAAGGAGGGGCGTCCGCAGGCAAGATGGAGCCGACTGTGGCCGGTGTGGGCCGGCTAGAGGAAGAGGCACTGCGGCGAAAGGAACGGCTGAAGGCCCTACGGGAGAAAACCGGGCGCAAGGTGAGAAATGCGGAGTGAAGGTCGTAGTAGAGGCAGCCAGCGTTCGGGGTCCGGGTCGGGTTTGAGAAGAGCAGGGACCAATAGGGAAGGACAGCTGCCGAAGGCGCGCATGCGCAGACGCTTACGCATGCGCGAGAAGACGGCGCCCGCCCACGAAGTCAGGGACTGCTTGGCGTGGTACTCCTCTGGCGCTGGTGTGGTAGTCGCGCATGCGCTGGGGTGGGTAAGGCAGTGGTCAGCGACCCGCAGTCCACCGACTCCTGCTTCCCGGGCGTTGCTCGTGTAGGTGTCGAGGGCCACTTGTACGTTTAGAGGCTTGTTGGGTTAGGCGTGATTTGTTCCGTTTATGGCCAAGTTGGTCTTTAACACCCACATTCGATTCTGAGTCTGACAAGACTCCTCTGTCCAGCAGCACGCCTTGGACAGGACAGCAAGTGACAGCAGTGGGTACACAGCAGGAATCGTTGCATGCAAAAATCGAAAAGAGGCCGGGCGCGGTGGCTCATGCCTGTAATCCCAGCTTCTGGGGAGGCTATAGCAGGAGAATCGCTTCAGCCCAGGAGGCAGAGGTGTAGTGAGTCGAGATGGCGCCACTTCACTCCAGCCTGGGTGACAGAGCGACTCCATCTCAAAAACAAAACAAAACTTAAAGAAAGGTCTATTTCTAAGTAGGGTGGGCCTTAGAAGTTGGGAACGAGGGCCGGGCGAGGTGGCTCACACCTGTAATCCCAGCGCTTTGGGAGGCCGAGGCGAGTGGATCATTTGAGGTCAGGAGTTCCAGACCAGCCTGGTCAACATGGTGAAACCCTGTCCCTACTCCAGATACAAAAATTAGCCAGGTGTGGTGGCAGGTACCTGTAATCCCAGTTACTCGAGAGGTTGAGGCAGGAGAATGGCTTGAACCGGAGGCAGAGGTTACAGTGAGCCAAGATCGTCCCAGTGCACTCCAGCCTAGGTGACAGAGTGAGACTTGGTCTCAAAAAAAAAAAAAAAAAAAAAGCAGGGGTGGGGAAGAGAAGGGCCTTAGTTTTTTCTTTGGGGATGGGCCTACTAGCCCATAGTTGCCATATTCGGAAGCATTTTTCCTTGCTCTGGTTTAACACCAAATGCAAAGTTCCATTTGTTCATCTTTCCAATGTAATGGAGAGGAAGAAGAATTCTGAAGATCACTTACCTGTGTGCAAACTGTAGATTGCTTTTTTACTTGGACTTGGGACACATTGCTTCATCTCCCTGAGCCTGGGTTTCTTCATGTCTCCAGTGGGGAATGACAGTCCCTACACATTCATTCTCACTGTGTTATTGTGAGATCTAATGGGATAATCTGTGTGAAAGGGCTCTGGAGACCACAGAGGGCCGAAGTTGTTGGTTCTGTTGTTGGATGGGTGAAAACTGTGTCCTTCAGTGTATGAGGTACAAAGGATGTTAAATTTATAGACCTGTTGGAGATGGGCGGGGACACTTCCCACTTTCCAACTTAAAACAGGCTGGGCAGCCTGAACCCTGTTTTCCTTACTGCATGACAGTCTGGTGTCCTGTATGAAAGTGAAAAGGGAAGTAATAAAGAGTGAAAGCTGGCTAGAGTGGCTTCTGCTTTTGTTGGCTGCCTGTTGAACATATCAGACAGTTATCCCCTAAATTGCCTGTCCCAGAGAAGCGCAAGCCTCAGCCTTTCCAACAATGGCTAGTCCATCTGAGCTGTTTGCTTGGATTTAGGACTCAGGTTATTGGGGCTGGGTTTGAGGTTAGCAATGCAAAGGACAAAATAGCATCCACGGAGCCCATTGCCATGGGAAGAATGTGCCAGATCATCAGGAGAACAGGCCTTTAGAAAGGGATTCTCTCGGTGGGCTGGAAATATGGCCTGATTATTTTTTTCTGTGTTTTAAAATTGTGGGAAAATACGTATACAGTTTACTATTTTGACCATTTTAAATGTATAATTTAGTGGCATTAAGTACATTCTCTGTGTCTGTAACTATCACCACAATCTATTTCCAGAACGTTTTCATCATCCCAAACTCTGTACCCATTAAACAATCACTCTCCATTCCCCCTTTCCCCAGCCCCTGGCCATTACTGTTTTACTGCCTGTCTCTGAATTTGACTACTCTAGATACCTCAGATAATCAGATCATACAGTATTTGTCCTTCTGTGATTGGCTTATTTCACTTAGCATGTCTTCACACACTTCATCCATGTTGTATTGTGTCGGAATCTCAGTCCTTTTTAAGGGTTAATATTCCATTGTATATACCATGTTTTGTTTAATTTAGTTGCTTCTACATTTTGCCTGTTGTGAATAATGCTGCTATAAACATGGGTGTACAGATACCTGTTTAAGTGTCTGCTTTGAATTCTCTTGGGTATATAGTCAGAAGTGGAATTACTGGGTCATATGGTAATTCTTTTTAGTTTTTATTTTTTGAGACAGTCGTGCTATGTTGCCCAGGCTGGAGTGCAATGGCACAATCTTGGCTCACTGCAACTTCCATCTCTGAGTAGCTGGGATTCCAGTAGCCTGCCACCCACCCAGCTAGTTTTTTTTGTATTTTTAGTAGAGCTGGGGTTTCACCAGGTTGGCCAGGCTGGTCTCGAACTCCAGACCTCAGGTGATCCACCTGCCTCGACCTCCCATGCCCAACTTTTTTTTTTTTTTTTTTTTTTTTTTGAGACAGAGTTTTGTTCTCGTTGCCCAGGCTGGAGTGCAGTGGCACAATCTTGGCTCACTGTATCCTCCACCTCCCAGGTTCAAGCGATTCTCCTGCCTCAGCCTCCTCAGCAGCTGGGGTTACAGGTGCGTGCCACCATGCTCAGCTAATTTTTGCATTGTTAGTAGAGATGAGGTTTTACCATGTTGTCCAGGCTAGTCTTCCAACTCCTGACCTCAGGTGATCTGCTCGCCTCGGCTTCCCAAAGTGCTGGGATTACAGGCATGAGCCACGGCACCCAGCTGCTAAATTTTGTATTTTAGTAGAGATGGGGTTTAACCACATTGGTCAGGCTGGTCTCCAACTCCTGACCTCAGGTGATCCACTCACCTCGGCCTCCCAAAGTGCTGGGAATATGGGTGTGAACCACCACCCCTGGCCCCCCTTTTTTAAAAATTACATTTGAGTGATGTCAGGTGAGGAGAAAGGAGATCAGTCTCAAATCTGTCTTTCCGTCAAACTAAAACTGGGGAGTTTATATAGCGGGGAGAGGAATGTAACTGTGTGTAGGGAAAACAGCTGGATGATATAATTCTGTGTTTAGCTATTTGAGGAAACACCATACTGTTTTCAGCAGTGGTTTTACCCAGCAGCAGTGTGCAAGGCTTCCGGTTGTCACATTCCCAGCAGCAGTGTGCAAAGCTTCCAGTTTTTACATTCCCAACAGCAGTGTGCAAGGCTTCCAGTTTTTCCACATCCTCCCCAACACTTTGTTATTTTCTTTTTTAAAAAAAAAGAGTCAGGGGTCTCACTGTGTTGCTCCAGGCTGGTCTTGAACCCCTGGGTTCAAGTGATTCTCCTGCCATGGACTCCCAAAGTGCTAGGATTACAGGTGTGAGCCACCAAAGTCCAGCCATCTTCTTTTTTGGTTTTTGTTTTTAGTTATAGCCATTCTAATGGGTGTGAAGTGGTATCCTATAGTGGTTTTGATTTGCATTTCCCTAATGATGAGTGATGTTGAACATCCTTTCCTATGCTTGTTTGCCATTTGTATATATATATTTTCTTTGAATAAGTATCCAGGTTCCCTTTGCCCGTATTTTTATCGGGTTCTTTTTCTTGTTATTGAGTTGTCATTGCATTGTTCATATATTCTGGATATTAAATCATTATTAGAGATGAGATTAGTGCTATTTTTTTCCCATTTTCTGGATTATCTTTTCACTCTCTTAATATTGTCTTTTTTTTTTTTTTTTTAAATTAATTTTTTGTAAAGATGGGGTCTCACTGTGTTTCTCAGGCTGGTCTCAAACTCCTGGCCTCAAGCAGTTCTCCATCTTTGGCCTCCCAAAGTGTTAGGATTACAGGCGTCAACTACCGCACCTGGTGGGTATTGTCATTGGATGCACAAAAATTTTAAAATTTTGATGAAGTTCAATTTATCTGTTTCTGCATTTGTTGCATATACTTTTGGTGTCATATTTAATCCCTACAGTTCTTGAGTGATTTGTTTAATAAGGTAAATGCTTGGGGACAAGACAGTTAGGAGTCTAAACTTTGAGTTGATTTTCTATCCTGTGCGCCTTTCTGCCAGACCTTTGAAGTGGAGAGTCTAGGGAGGAAGTGTGACTGCCTGCTGTGGCCAGATAAGACCTTATGAGTCTCCTCCCTCAGAGAGGAAGTGGCTCCACATTTTTACTTGAGACTTCTGATGTGACAACAGACTCCCGGATTGAGCACCTTCTCTGCCTGCACCTGCCAGTGAAGAGCACCTGTTTGCCCCGTGGGGATGGCAACTTGCTGCTTTCCTAGCACTCAGTAGCAGGTGCTTCATTGAGTTCTTACTGCGTGCATGATTTTGCTGAAGGCCTTAGGAATTTCAGGCCTGGAGTTGGTTTTCCTCATGGTTTTATCTTTCTTCCTTACTCTCACCAGACTATAAACTCATGATTTAGTGATGTTATGACAAATCAGAGTCCTGAGATTGTGGCAGATGGAGAGAGGCAAGATTAGGGGTTGCAGTGTTTCCATATATTATTCTGTATAAAGCTCTCTTGTAGTCATGCAGCTGTAGTTTTACAAAGACTTCCTGGTCAGCCCACCTGATGCCACTTATTAGTGAGGGGAGGTGGGCAAGAGGCTGAGAGGACCTGGGATGTTCAAGGCTGTGGAAGGGAAGTGATGTCTCCTGGATTCCAGCCCATGCAAGACCACCAGGGGGAAGGGGATTCTATAGAGGAAAAGCACCGCCTGAAGTAGCATCTTGGAGATCAGCCACTTCCAGTTGACAGGTGGAAGGACAGTATTGCTGGCATTCATTTTCTGGAAAAGCCAGGCAGAGCCTGGGG